TTGTAAGTCATTGTTTTCTTTATGGTGCCATTTTATGGTGGTATTCTGAAGTAACACCCATGCACTCTAACTTTTCTCTTCAGGATGTGTCCAACAATGATTTATGCGGAACAATTCCTATGGCAGGGCCATTTGAGCATATTCCATTGAATAAGTACGTTTCCAAATATATTTATCTTCTAATTCTTAACTATAATGCCGTTGTTTTCTTGAAGTGGAGCAATTCATGTCGCTTTGTATTAGTGTCTGTTGGTTGCAAATTGCAGTGTGTTGCTTAAGCATTGAGATTGTTGATTGAGATTTCAGATGCTATGGATGTCCTGGCTTTTGATTGTTAATATGCTTCCTGTCTATTAGCAGCAGAACCATGCTCTGAAACTGCAAATTGGAAACTTGTGAAAGATGTTTTCAGTTTTTACACAAAATAACTGGTGGCATTTTTGTAATTTTGCATGGGTATATATGTAAAATAATTAAAGAAAATTAACTAATCTTGTCAAAATCCGAAGTCAAGTAGTATTAATGGCACTTATGTCTGGTTGATTCAAAAACAAAAGATGAATACCATTTTCACTTCATAAAACAAATGCGTTTTCTGAATAACTAATTTTTGCAAAGGAAAATAAAGAATCGAAATATGAAATTGTTTAGGCCCCAAATTTACCCTTACACTTCCTGCTGTATTCAGTCACCAAATGTACCCTTTGCAGTTTGCACATTGTAGACATCCTAACTGCAGGGCTCTTAATAAACCGTGAAGTTCATATCTGAATGTTGTGTAATATGCATAGTGCAGTGATAAAATGTATGATTTTGCTAGTGCGCTTGGTGTTTCCTGTCTAATTTTCCCAATCAATTTATGAATTCTCGTTTATGGTTTTAGGCAAATGGGTTTATGTCTATTTGTCAATGGCTAAACCTGGTCTTCATGCTGCAACTAATCGAAAATCAGATAATTAGATTAAAAACTGATGTTGGACAAGTGAAAGTATCCTTCTTCAGTCGCAAATATGTTACTGAAGTTGGAATAAATGTAACATGAATAATTAACCTGGAAAACAATATTGCATGAATAATTAATTTCCACATATCATGTCCCTTGCTGGCAGCCAGCTATGAATTGTATGATAGCGCTCTGGTGGAGACGATCAGATTGTTCTTGTTTCTGTAACTTTTCATTTGCTTTCATTCCTTTTTTTCCCCCCTGGCACACTGATTCTGAAAGCATGGGAACCTGAGTTTCTTCCTGTATATAGCAAAACTGTACTTTTAATTGTCAAAATTTATATAAAATTTTATTTTGGCCTCATAATTTTATAAAGTATCTTTTGTCCTTTAATCCTACCATCATTAGACTCGATGATTTTTTGTGCCAATACTTAAGCTCAATATATCAGTATTTGAGAATGTTTTGTCAACATTTAAAATTTTAAGATCGGCATATTTTATTAAAAGTATTAGGATTAGACGAATGAAAAGGAATTGCATGAAATTAAGGACCAAAATAAAACCTTATGTGATGTCAAGGGACTAAAAGCACTATTAGCTGTTTGTTCTTCTTCCTTATCTATTCGCTAAAGGGGTCAATCTAAATCCTTCTTTGTTTGGGGTTCAATTCTGCAGCTTTGAGAATAACCCTCGGTTGGAAGGTCCGGAGTTGTTGGGACTTGCAAGTTATGAAACAAATTGCTCGTGAATAACACAAAGCCTTGGGATCTGAATCTAAACTGAACTATACGTGTATTAGAAAATTAAATTGTGTTATCTTGTACTGTAATAGGCAGCTGAAAAAGTAGCTCCTGTTGTATGTAACTTTAATAATTGAAATGGCTTGTCTTGTGTAACTGTGTCATGATGTTCTACCTATGTTTTGAGACATTAATTGCAACATAGGTGCTTATTGCTGATTTTATGATGGGTATGATGTTATCATAGAGGAATTGTCAAGTTGATGGACTGATCTAATCATTGTAATATCAATATATATATATATATATATATATATATTAGAGTGAAGTTGATTGTTGAAATGTTTCTGCAGCCTTGTATATCATAACTATTCATTTTGAGTTTCTTATTCTTTGTTTCACATTAGTGTTGGTTTTCCTTGAATGATGATTACTTGGAAAAGTTTCTTGAGGATCTTGTTCAGCAGTTGCAAGTGAACTATCTTATATCTTTTTCTTGACCAGGAACTATCTTATGTCTTTATTTTCAGATTTTTCAATCAAAATATGATAAATACGTAGTTCCACCAAAGCAACATTACTACTACTACTACTGTTGTTTTTACCGTAATTGTAAACTTGTTTGATGTGTTTTATGATGATTATTTTTTTATACGCAAGTTATCTGTACATGATCCAAAATTCAGGAAATATTTGTGGCCTCATGAGATATGCAACAAAATTTAGCATATTGATTCCTTTTCAAGAATCAGTACAATGTTTTAAAAAACTTTTCCAATTAATATCAATATCATTACAATCCATCACACAAGGAAAAACATTTGTTTTCGAATTACTGCTGACATCATGTACATAATTGTTTCAAATTAATTTGAATCAGTTAGCTTTATCTCTAGTTTCACAATTATCATTTAATTTTAGTTGCAACAAATTTTAAAATGATAGAATACAAATGGGAATGAATCTATACAATTTTCACAACCAGAGTTGTTGATTGAGCTGAAATTGGAATTGAATATATCTACATAATGTTATACAAACAAAACTTGAAATAGAAAGAAACATCTTGTTTAGATCTTGTACAAGACAAGGAAAATATATACAAACTCGAAGGGTAAACATAAAGGAAAAAAATTAGGAATCATGAAGATAGGCCATAGGCTCCGATTCATCTGCTAGCCATTTCCAGACAGTGAGCAAACCAGTGCCGTCTCCCGTGAAAAAGAGTCCACCAGGGCCTTCTTCTATTACTCTAATCTCTTGCTTTGAGAATAATCTTCCTCTTGCAGCAAACCTAACCAGAAAAAACACCCCAGATCCTATCAAGGCCTGATATATATATATATATATATATATATTTATTTATACAATATTAAAACCAAAAATAAAAATGGAAACATGAAGTCTACTCACGTTGGCATTTCGTACAGGCTAACTGAATGGTTGCTGCAGGAGCAAAACAATATGGGTTTCCCTTTTGCATCAATCATGCCGTTGATTCTAACCACACCCTATAATATAATATCACCAAAACTATACATTAGAATGATTTCTCACAATATAACATGCATATGAATCTCTACTGTTTATTGAAGTAAAACTCAAACTTTCTTCTTGATGCGTGTACACTGCTTCCATAGTTGATTGTTCATGATCAGTTGAAGTCCAAAGCTTTACTGTGCTGTCCAAAGAACTTGAAAATAAGTATTTGTCCCAGAAAATAAGGGATGTCACTACATCAGTGTGCCCTTTCAACGTCATGGTACATTGTAATGTGTTGAGGTCCCAAACCTGAAAAAAACAAGAAATCATTAAATCCTCTCAAATGAATTCAACAACAACTTACTAACTCCGCTCTTTCAGTTGACTAATTTAGGAAGATTAATAAAGTTACTAACTTGAAAAAACTATGTACCTTGATGCTATGATCCACAGAACCTGAATATAACTTGTACCCAGGTCCACCAGTTAAGGAAACGACAGCTCTGGTGTGGCCGTTCAATGTTGCTACTGGTTTAAATGGAAAATTTGCTTCAGAAGTGAGTCTCCATGCATAAATAACACCATCCTATGGCATGGAAACATAGTATGAGATTATAATAAGAGAGAAGAGAACAAATATTAATGAAGTGAAAAGAACCTAGTAAAACCAATTACGTACCATAGCTCCAGTAAAAATTTTCGTTGCAAACAGCCATGGAAAGTACAGGACCCTTAGGTCCGTCAAGAGTGATCTCAGCAGCAGTCTGAATGTTCCATGCCTTCATATATAATAACCACAACCACGTACAAGTTTAATTTCTGATTAATTAACCTAATGATCATATAAAAGATGAAAGACAAAACAAAAACACAATCATCATATGATCAAGAAGTTTAAGAGCTCAATTACCTTAACAGCATTCTTCAAACCAGCAAAAACCCATGAACCCATACTGATCAAACACCTTGCCTCTTCACCCAGATTTATCACATTAACACATTCACCCGTATGACAGTCCCATACCCGAAGTGTCCTATCGGTGCTACAAGAAAAGAGTTTGTCCGATCCGACTGGAAGTGTAATCCCAGTCATAATCTGTAATCATATTTCAAAGTTTAGTACTTGACCAAAAAGCTACCCCACCAATCCTTTATATAAAAACTAAAAAGAGAGTTGAACTCATTCCTAAATATAAACCTCAATTCAAAGTTTAGTACTGAAATAAGATCCGGCAAAGAAACAAGATCAAGCATATATACTGATATTGGCAAATAATGGAAGTCAAGTAGGTACCGTCTTGTGTTGGTGGAGCTTAGTGAGGATAGAAAGGCCATCGCCATAAAACCAAGAATGCAAGTTCCAACAGTGATCACCATGGACGCAGTTTCCATTGATCCAATATTTGCAAATTTGAGATGAATTGCCTTTGGGCTTAGAGACCTTTTGCCGTCTGCTTCACATTTTTTGTTATTATGGGAGTAAGTGGACTGCCTCTTGCAGCGATAAGCATTATTATTACCAGAAGTGGACGGCCTCCTGCATTGATAAGAAGTTTCATTGCGCACAAAACGAGTTTCCCTGTAAGAAGGAAACTCACTCCTCCTTACGACTCTTGCATTATTCATTCTGCAGCAATAAATTGGGATATAGGAAGAATTAGTTGATATGACATGATATTAAGCAATTCATACTAATCTTACCCAGTATCATTATACAGTGGACCGCATGCTAATATTATAACTTTATAATGTCCCATCCAAATAATCTTTATGCAACGAAATATTATATTATATTAATGTAAATTGAATTTGTTTTTGCTCCCAATTCTATATAATTAACCTGAATTATGCATTTTTAAAATATGTAATATGTAATAACAAATGCTTGAAAAGGGCCTTCCTGTGTAAGATATCAAAGGATCCATCTTAAAAAAGGAGAATTACAATGATATTTCAAGGAAGGAAAATAATCCCTAAAGTTATCATTCTCTACTCTGAAACTTATCAATAGAAGCTGTTTAGGTTGTTATTGGGACTTTTTAGTAATTTTTTTTTTAAGACTTGATGTAACTCTCCCTTTTAAAAACTGTCAAAATAATCCTAAAAGATAATTGCAGTTACAAAATTCTACTGATTTTTTTTATCTTGAAAATTATAAGTCATCAAGTGAAATATTAATTATATTTTTTTAAAGATTGTCTCTAATTAAAACTTAACATTTTTTCTCGTGTAATTCATTATTTTAAATGCTGATAATTTTAGAATTTTTAAGTTTAATAAAATTAATGACTTAAGCATATCTTTTTACGGAGAATAGCTTAATAAAAGTCTGATGAACATGTGTGGCTGTCAGTTAATTGCCAAGGCAAGCACTAAACTTTGACGATGATTGCACAAAAGAACAGAAAATAGATCATGAAACAAAACTCCAAATTTCATAAACCTCTATAAGTTTTAGGGTTTAGCGTTATCAAAGTTCTTTCACATATTTATCATATGCCGTGCAAAATTATTTATTTCACAACCAATCCAAAGAGTCTAAAATAATTCTAAGCGAATTTGATCAAATAGAAGGCATAATTTTTGAAGTATTAATTGTGCGTTCAAGAATTTAATTGATGAGAACATGGACATACCTTCACAACCGAATATCTCTCACTCTCTAATGTGACAATTCTTTGACTCTCTCTCTCTCTCTTTCTCATATCTTCACGTAGCTCCTTCTGCAGTCCTCCCGCGGCCTCTTTTTATGGGCAGTATATTCGTAATGGCGAAGCAATTATTTTTTTGAGTGATTTAAAGCTTAACAAGAGATTTGATAAAATCCAGATTTCCTAACCAAATCTTCAGTTTCATCTTTATTATCCAATCATATTAAAATATTTTGAAGATAACTTGTAACCAATTAGATTTTATACAAGTTGTTTTCTGAAAGTGTATTTGATCTCTACAAGAGATTTGATAAAAATTTTCCAACTTAATATATGTGTTAAATCTTATATTTTTGTATTTTCAATTTTTTAATTTTTTTAGTATGATTTTTGACAAAAAAATATTTTTATTTATTTAAATTGAAATATTAACCTTAAATTCACTCAAATGACGGAATGAAGACTTAAAAAAACACACACACAAATTAAATTAAAAAAACAAGACACTTTTACATAGTATCTTTCTTTTCACCTGATTCAATTTTATTATTACTTTTAGCAATACATTTATATCTATCTACATATCTATATCTCCAGATAAAAACAGATACACTGGAAGTTATTAAATGATCTCAAATCTATCCTTCTTAGAGAAAGAAATTTAATCTTGCATTTGACATGATTTTTAAGTTAAATGATTTGCCAACGTGTCTCTTCTAATCAAACTTCAAATTAAAACATCATATAGATTTTTTTTATTTCATATTAAATTATATATATATTGGTTCTGAAAATATATTTGGTCTCTATAAGAGATTTGATAAAGTTTATCCAAGTATCCAACTATTTGTAGATTTGTTAAATCCTGCTCTATATTTTTATATTTTCCTTTTCACCTTGTACGCTTCAACTTTTTTATTATTTTCATTAGCAATTAGCAATACATTTATACACACACATCACTGAAAGTTAAATGATTGCTACTCTATCCTCCTCAGAGAAACGAAGACTTTAATCTTAAATTATTATAATTTTTAAGTCAAATGATCTACCAATGTATATCTCGTATAATCAAAGTTCAAAATAAAATATCAGATAAAGTTTGTTGATATCATATAAATCATATTAACTATTTTGAGACATTTATAGCAATATATGTCGCCATATAGCCATATATTAAAGTGAAGATGATTGTCGAAATGTTTCTGCATCCATCTATATAATAACTGTTCATTCATTTTGAATTTCTGATCATTTCTTTCACATCAGTTTCAGCAGTTGCAAGCGAACTATATCTTGTATCTATCTTTATTGTCACATTTTTCAATCACTCAGCTTTATCACAAGTTTCACTTTTATCATGTAATTTTATTTAGTTTCAACGAGGCTAATGTCTAATTTCTTATACCCATTTAGTTGTGCAAAAATTTTACAATGATACAATACAAATGGGAATGAATCTATATAATTTTCACAACCAGAACCGTTGATTGAGCTGAAATATTTTGAAATTGAATATATACGTATATAATGTTATACAAACAAAATTTGAAATACAAACATCTTGTTCGAGATGAAGAAGATATATATAAACCCTAAGGTTAAAAATAAGAAAATAAGATTGGGAATCATGAAGAAGGGGTCATAGGCTCCGATTGACCTGCTAGCCATTTCCAAACAATGAACAAACCAGTGCCATCTCTAGTTCTATGTTCAACCAAATCAAAAGAGGAAAGAAAATGGTAGTTATTGACTATAAACCCCTCAATATTTTTCTCCAAGATGACAAATTTCCTTTACCAAAGCCTAGTTCATTTATAGTCCATCTTAAAGATGCCAAGATCTTTTCTAAGTTTGATCTTAAAGCGGGTTTTTGGCAATTGGGTATTCACCCAGAAGATTGCCCTAAAACTGCCTTTTGTATTCTAAATGCCTAATATCAATGGACTGTTATGCCATTTGGGCTCAAAGTCGCCCCTGTTCCAAAAGGCCATGACCAAAATCTTTGAACCTATTTCTGACAACCTTCTCATCTATATAGATGACTTTTGCTTTTCTCAAATGATGAAGATTCCCATAAACTTTTATTAACCCAATTTGGGAAAATAATTGAAAATACGAGGTCATATTGTCAGCAAAGAAAGGAGAAATAGGTGTCAGAAGTATAAAGTTCCTTGGAATGAATTTTGAAAATGGTCAGTATTATCCTGAACCACATATTGCAGAAGAATTGCTCAAATTTCCGGATAAGAATCTCACAGCAAAGCAAATTCAGCAATTTTTTGGGATTGTCAATTATCTTAAGAATTTCATCCCTCATGTGTCTGATCATACCAACAAATTGTCCAAGCTTTTCAAAAAGAATCCTCCCACGTGGGAAACAGACCAGACTTTAGCCGTCTAAATTCTCAAAAAAGTTGCTCAGCATCCGCCTCCTTTAAAGATTCCTTGAACAAAGGATTACAAATCCTCCAAACTGATGCCAGTGATTTTTGGGCAGCTATCCTCCTTGAAGAGATAAATGGAAAATGGTTCCACTGTGGACATGCAAGCGGACAATTCAAGGAGTCAGAAAAATATTATCATGCCACCTACAAAGAGGTTCTTGCAGTCAAAAAAGCAATTGAGAAGTTCAGCTTCCAACTCAGTCCTTATCAATTCAGAGTAGAAATGGACAATATGTCTTTTCCCAAATGCTTAATCCCAAGGGAAAGATCTTGCCAAATAGCCAATTACTCCGATGGAAGGACTGGTTTTCTAGCTATAAATTCACCATCCATCATCTCAAAGGTCACCAGAACACCATTGTAGATTTTCTCTCAAGACCTCAGAAAACTTCTCAACCTCCAAAGCTTTTGTCACTCTCCACACACCAAACCTTTTACATTTTAACCATCTCTAAACCAGATATGCGTCATAGAATGATAGCCACCATTTCCCTCCTGATCCTATCCTGAAACTCCTACAGATGTCTAAAACCTTGCCAGAAACACTATATTCTACTGGCTCCATCTTCTTCTTATGAACACTGGAATTCACTCATATCCTCAGCATTTTGATGTTGATACTCCATGCCTCACCATTCCCATCATCAAAGGATCCATTCCAAAAGAACTTTTATGGTATGTTTGGTCCATCTTAGACAATTATACCTATGCCATAGCTTTCTTAGCCTTATCCATATACCAACATCTGAATGATTCAAGAAACCAAAATTCTCCTCTTATCACTCTTTTTGAGATGCTTGCTCCTCTTTCCTATTGGAGAGGAAAACTTCGAAAAATCCTTGATAATCACAATATCTGGAATGCATTATCCTCCAAACAAAAGAAACTTTTCTGTTTGTTTACTTTTTACAGGTGTTATGACAAAGATGCTGATGGAGGACTTTACACAGACATTCATCTAACTCTCTGGATTACTATTCCCTTACGGCCCAAAGATGAAAAGTTATTAATGGAGAAACTTGGAAAAACATTAATCGCACTTAATGAACCAGACACAGGAGAAGACACTGCATATCTTTCTCTTGGACCTTTTCCTCTAAGTCCTCCTGATTCGCCACATAGGGCCAGCTGTTCAACTCTTGAAGAATTTTAGAGGAATTTTATCGTAAATGCTGTCAGACCTCCACCACAAGTTCCTCCTCCAACAAAAGTATCCCAGGATCCTTGCCAAGGAGACTTACAAATTCAGCTCACTTAGCCTAAAATACTCTATTTCCCTCAGCCAAGTCTTTAGTCACAAATTCCATTTCTTGCGTGAGAGTCCCAAGACCTTAACCAGGATGATGATTTTGAGATCCTACTCACAAAGTTTAAAGAAGAATATGCCATAAGGAGAAGACACTCTTCACACTATACGACAGCAATCTACGACTTTGATGCTGATGACTCTGACCCAGAAGA